CTTCCTCCACTCCGGCTCCCTGCCCCTCGCCCCTCCTCTGTCTCATTGGCGGACCCCTAGGGCCATCTTTGTTTGGAGGGAGGGCGGGCGCCGTTAGGGCGATCCCCCTGGGGAGCGGCCCGGGACGGGCGTGGGCGGAGAGCCTGCGGCTGCGCTCGCGGTCGTCGCCAAAATATGGCTCTCCCTCCTTCTGTTCAGTTAACGGGGCTAGGAGGGGAATATGGTTTCGTTTGGCATGCGCCTAAACGGTTTTATCCCCCCCTGGCCGTAGTGCTCTGTCGCCCCTCCTCCCCCCTGCTCCCGCAGCTGTTTAGGTTAAGCAGCGATTTTTCCACCTCCCACCCCACACCTCTGTTCCCCCGTCTTTTGGACGGGGCGGAGAGCCTGCGGCTGTGCTCGCGGTCGTCGCCATATTTCTTCTGTTCAGTTAGCGGTGCTAGGAGGGGAATATATGCGCTCTCGGGCCCAGGGCCACGTCTCACATGATAGCCTGGCCTAGAAGGCTGCCACCGTCCACTGTGCCATGGCCCAGAATTAATAATTGAATGGTCCGCGGTCAAAGTAGGTCCTCCCTAAGCAGTGGCGATACCTAGACTTCCCACCCAAAACCGAAGCAGGGCGTGGTCGTTTCCTCCATTCCGCGCGACCGTTTGCCGGAGAGTGTTGGCTTTATCACGCAGCCAGGGCAGTGCATTTCCCCACTAGCGTGGGTGGGACTAGCAGTGCAGACCGCTTTAGCCTCGGCTGGGCGATTCAGCGATCCTGCCGCGAAAATGTCGACATGAATCGCAGGACCAAAAGCACGTAGCATCAGCAAATAGGTTCGGAGGTCGCGACGAGTTCTTGGGTCGACGCTGGGCCCCCCTTACCCGCATCCCTTTCCACGGCGCGCGGAGTGCGGAGCGCGCCGGGGGCGGCGCCGCCGTCGCCGTAAGGTGGCGCCGCCGGGGGGTGCAGCGCTCTCGCCAGCACCGGCAAGATCGTGTTCTTTTCTTGTAGTTGGTGGCGGCGGGGGGGGGTCGGAATGTCTTAACACGGCGGGGCGTCGTCGTCCTCCACGGCCAACTCAAACTCGAGCGGCTCAGAAGGATGGAGGAGGAGAAGATTTAGTTAGACTTAGGGCTTAGGGCGGATTATTTGTTTCGCAACTGCCCATAGTGCTGCATGATTGCCAATGTCATGTGTTTTGTCACCCCGCTCGAATTCATTCATTCTTGGCTTGGTTCTCGCCACGTTGACGCGGTGGCGACCCCCGCGCGGACGTTCACCGTTGAACGCCGTTGGTGGTTTGGAATGTGCGGAAGCCTCGATCGTTCACGGTTTGGAAGTGTTGATCGTTCAAGGCGACGTGGCTGCGCCGTAATTTGTGGTTTTCAGCTTGAGCTACCCTTGGCCGGTCGGGTCAGTCGTAATTGATTGGTCCATTACAGCAGCAAGCGAGCAAGCGAAAGAAGAGGAGCAAGTGGACCAGGAGGATCAGGAGCACGAGGCGTGCGCGACCGAAGAATGTCTAGAAAGGGCATCTGACAAAGACATGCTGGAGAGAAAGAGGAACGCTCATGGCGATAATATGTCTGTGTTGTGTGTATGTGTGTGTCTGTGTCTGTGTCTGTGTGTCTGTGTGTCTGTATGTGTGTGTGTGGCTGTGTGTGTCTGTGTGTCTGTGAGTCTGTGTCCGTGTCTGTGTCTGCGTGTGCGTGTGTTGATCCGATGGGAGCCCTGCCCCTTCTTCTGCGGGGCCGGCCGCGCGCGCGCTCTCTCCGCTTGGGACTTGCTCCGCCTCGACGCCGCGCGCGAGGCAACGAGGGTCAAAACAGTGTGTGTGTGTGTGTGCGTGTGTGTGTGTGTGTGCGTGTGTGCGTGTGTGCGTGTGGTGTGTGTGTGTGTGTGTGTGTGTGTGCGTGCGTGCGTGCGTGCGTGCGTGCGTGCGTGCGTGCGTGCGTGCGTGCGTGCGTGCGTGCGTGCGTGCGTGCGTGCGTGCGTGCGTGCGCGTGCGTGCGTGCGTGCGTGCGTGCGTGCGTGCGTGCGTGCGTGCGTGCGTGCGTGCGTGCGTGCGTGCGTGCGTGCGTGCGTGCGTGCGTGCGTGCGTGCGTGCGTGCGTGCGTGCGTGCGTGCGTGCGTGCGTGCGTGCGTGCGTGCGTGCGTGCGTGCGTGCGTGCGTGCGTGCGTGCGTGCGTGCGTGCGTGCGTGCGTGCGTGCGTGCGTGCGTGCGTGCGTGCGTGCGTGCGTGCGTGCGTGCGTGCGTGCGTGCGTGCGTGCGTGCGTGCGTGCGTGCGTGCGTGCGTGCGTGCGTGCGTGCGTGCGTGCGTGCGTGCGTGCGTGCGTGCGTGCGTGTTTTTACCCAACCATCCTGTGGTGTTGGGTCCTCGTTTTGAAGAAACAGCGCCCCGCGTTCCTCCTCCCGCTGCCCCGTCCCTCCTCCTCTCATCATCACCATCATCATCATCACCCGTTTCAGCACACCCCTCACACGATTCGTGGCCCCATAGGGAGCTCCACCAGCGGCCCCAATGGGGGTGCCCGCATGCTTCCGCCACGCCCAGTACAGCGAACGCTTCGTGGCCCCATAGGGAGCTCCACCGAAGGCCCCAGTAGGGGATCCCGCGTGCGTCCGCCACACCCAGTACAGCGTTTCGTCGCCCTAGAGGGAGCTCCACCGAAGGCCCCAGTGGGGGTGCCCGCATGCGCCTGCCACACCCGGTGCAGCGCTTTGTGGCCCCATAGGGAGTTCCACCAGCGGCCCCAATTGGAGTGTCCGCATGCGTCCGCCACACCCAGTACAGCGTTTCGTGGCCCGAGCTCCACCGACGTCCCCCGTGGGGGTACCCGCGCGCTTCCGCCACACCCAGTACAGCCTTTCGTGGCCCCATAGGGAGATCCACCGAAGGCCTCAGTGGGGATGCCCGCATGCGTCCACCACACCCAGTACAGCGCTTCGTGGTTCCATAGGTAGCTCCACCGAAGGCCCCAGAGTGGGGGTGCCGGCATGCGTCCGCCACAGGGTGTCCGCATGCGTCCGCCACATCCAGTACAGCGCTTCGTGGCCCCATAGGGAGCTCCACCGAAGTCCCCAGAGTGGGGGTGCCCCGCATGCGTCCGCCACACAGTACAGCGCTTCGTCGCCCCAGAGGGAGCTCCACCGGAGTCCCCAGTGGGTGTGCCCGCATGCTTCCGCCACACCCAGTACAGCGTTTCGTGGCCCCATTAGGGAGCTCCACCGAAGGCCGCAGCGGGGGTGTCCGCATGCGTCCGCCACACCCAGTACAGCCTTTCGTGGCCCCATAGGGAACCCCACTGAAGGCCCCAGTGGGGGTGCCCGCATGCGTCACATCCCACCCAGTACAGCGTTTCCTGATCTCTCAAGGAGCTCTACCGAAGGCCCCAACGGAGCCGCCCGCATGCCAGCCAGTACAGCGTTTAAGGGAGCCCCACCGAAGGCCCCAGTGGCACCGCCCGCATGCGTCACCCCCCACTCAGTACAGCGCTTCGTGGCCCCATGGGGGGGCCCATCGCCGCAGAAGTCACGCCCACCCAGTACAGCGTTTCGTGGCGCTCCACCGAAGGACCCAGTGGATGCGCTCGCATGCGGTTCCCCCACCCAGTGCAGCGCTTCGTGGCCCCATAAGGAGCTCCACCGAAGGCCCCAGTGGCGGTGTTCGTATGCGTTCCCACCACCCAGCACAGCGCTTCGTGGCCTCATGGGGAGCTGCACCGAAGGCCCCGGTGGCTGTAAACGCGTGCGTTTCCTTCACCCATTACGTTGTCTCGTTGCATAGGTAGCTCCACCGAATGTCCCAGTGGCGGCCCCGCCCCACTGCGGCGCACCCCTCACACGTTTCGCGGCCCCGTAGTGCGTTCCGCCTAAAGCACCAGCGGTAGCGCACACATGGCGGCCCCGCCCCACATCGGCACACCCTTCGCACGCTTCATGGCCCCATGAGGAGATCCCCCGAAGGCGATACCCGCAACGACGGCACTCGCAACTGTATGTAGTTGGGTCTTTCGCCTGGATAATTGTTTTTGTGCGTGTGTTAGTGTGTGAGCTTTTCAGAAGAGCTGTGGTTTTTGTTGCTGTCCGTTGTTTCACGGTGGTTGACATCGCCGTAGCCCACTGAGCCGCGGGATCTCCATGCTGGAGGTTCTGCGTGCTGCAGACCTTGAGCGTCTCAGAGGGGACACGTTTGGGCATAGCCCCCTACCTGCGTGCCCCCTGCCCCCCACCGAGAAGTACGTGCTTGCAGTGGCAGAAAGTCCGATGAGCGATGGCTGGCTGGAGGAGGCGAGTGCTGAATGGCAGTGAAGGCAGCGAACGTACTGATGTCACCGTCCATGGCGGCCGCCGCGGCGGCGCGCAGCAAAGAATCCAGAAGCCTTCGCTGCTACTTCAGATCCGGTTCGCCTGCGGACTCTGTGTATCGAGCTCTCTCGGACAACGCTAACCCGCCTGTTGGATTGTCCCTTCCCGAATCAGCTCATGCGACTTGCGTCGAAGGAGGAGGACACACGGACCTACGTAGACTTCTGACATATTGATGTATGTTATCCCCCGGGACAGTTGTTCGTCCCGGATCCAAGTTTGACGGATCCGCGTTCCGAAAATGGCCCCCAGAGGCAGAAAGTGGTGAGGATTGAACAAGTCAAAACAAGTCATCAATCTGCCCGAATTTCAAGGAGACGCGTGAGGAGTCGGAGTGCGTCGGGGTTTGGAGAGGGCGCCCCCAGGAGTTTGTTTGTCATTCTTTGGCGGGCTGGTCACGTCACGATTTGCGCCAGCGCCGTCTGGGGATAAGGTGGGGATGAGCTACTCTTGCCATTCCCAAACGGCGCTGGCACGAATCCTGACGTTACTGGTGGGGGAGGGATGGGGGCGGCCCAGGTAACGAGAGCTGCCGCGCATGGTTGAACAAACTCTGGGAGGCAGGCGAGAGCGCAGCCAGTGGGACGCACCACGACGACGGCGACGAAGGCCGCACAGAGACACTCCTCGCGGGAAGCCTCAGGCGCGCCGCATGCTTCGCGCCAAGAAGGTGCCGCTGCTCCACCACTTGCCTGACGCTCAGGCGCTGGGTGGGAGGGGGGGTCCTGCCCCTCCTCGCTCAGCGCAGCAGCGCCATACATCGCCAGGTGCGCCGCACTTGGCACATCGACCCCGTGGCTATCCATCATGTATCACTTTGTGCCACGTGCTGTGCTCATCCGTATTTCAGACCTTCGTCCCCTACAGGTGATGGTGTTGGAGGCCATCTCGCGCCCCGTCAAATCCTCAAACTAGTCATCATCGTGAGTCAGCACTTGCAGCATCGTCGTTCTCGTAACTGTCATCGTCACCGTCATCGTCACCGTTGACGTCGTCGTCGTCGTCAACATCAGCATCACCAACAACTGCAGTATCATTACCATTGTCATCATCGTAACCCTGATCATCATCATCAGCATCAGCATCAGCATCATCAGCATCTCGTCATCTTCATCATCAGCAGCAGCAGAAGCATCAGCGTCAGCAGCAGCATGCGCATCATCATGGCCCAGGGCCAAACATGGATCCGCGACGAATGGATCTTGGCAGGGAAGATCGATTAAACAATTGCATGCGTAGGACTTGTCTGGGGTCCGTCTGGCTTTCTTGTGTCGGCGCTGGACATTACCTGGCGAGCAGAAACCCAACGCCTCGTGGTTCGAGTTCGGAGGAGGGTTGGGGGATAATGTTGGGAGGAGGGAGGAGGGAGGATCGGAAGCCGTGGGAGAAAGGAGGAGGGCATGAAGAAGGATGATGCTCATCCGGATTGAGGAGGAGGCTTGTCCCTCGCGGGTGACGGTCGTCGCTAGGGCCTCGTTCCGCCACGTTCCCGGGGGGGGGGGGGCTAGTTCGGCGCCCGTGCCTGAGAATCTGCCCGCTCGAGACGCCGAGCAGCGGGCGCCTCGCAGTTCTAGACAAAGAGTATGTATGGAGGGATGGTTGTGCATCTCACTCCTCCATCCTCCCTCCTCATCCCTCCCTCCCGCGACCTCCCTCCGTCCCTCCTCTATCTTCCTCTCACCTCCCCCCCTCCCTCTATCCTCCTCCCCCCCCCCTTCCCTCCCCCTCCCTCCCTCTCCTGGGCCCGCCGTTCGTCCAGGTGTGGGCGACGATCCTCAAGGCCATCGGCGGCGACGACACCACGCCGCCCGACGTGCGCTCGACCGTGGAGGAGTATTGGAAGAAGGTCGTGGTGGCGTCCGACGTGCATTCGATTGCCAGCCAGGTGCGCGCGTGCCGCGTGAGGCCCAGTTCATGCGCCCGACGCTGGCCGTCGACGCCAGCCACAAGCCGCTCGAGGAGGCGATCATCGCGTACATGATCCACATCAATGCCGTGCGCAAGTACGGCGCAGCTCCACGCGAAGTTTTGGAGAGGGACGAGGTCAAGTTCTTGGCGCCGCAAGAGGGGAAGTAGGAGTGCCGTGGAGGGTCCCAGAGGCGTGCAGCATATCCCGGCATCTTCTCCTTCGGCTTCAGATCCCATGGAACAGAAACGGCCAAGTGCCGTAATGGCGCCGAATGTCGTAGCTGCGTCGGCGCGCCCCGCATCATAACCACCTGGGCAACGCCAGGCGGGTGTCGTAACGGCGCCAGCGGGCTCTGTTTCGGATCCATCGGATCATGGCGTCGTAGCGCTGCCAGCGCGGCTTCCGCCAGGAGGCTGTGCCGGAAGATCCACTGACTTTGCGGCCTGGGGGAGGGCTTCCTGAGGTGCGATGAGTGAGGCCGCCTGCTCGTGAGCCCGTCCGCGCGCCGCCAACGCAATACCCGCGGCCTGCCAGAGGTGGGAATCGGATACCCCAGAGACGGCCCCCAGTGCCCGCGGCGTTTGCAGGTAGCGTTCGATACCTCGAGCTCCAGGCCCGTGGAGTTTTTTTGGGGTTCCTTCTGAGAGGAGGGGCGCTGTTTCGGAGGTGAGGCTGCCTGCGTTCACACACAGCACCGACCAGCATCTTTTAGAAGGCGTTGCAGATGTTGCCGGTCGAGTTTTCCCTCCTGGACCCCGAGCCAGGCCGAGAGGGCGTGGGAGGGGGAGCGGGGGGAGTCCCCTAGTTCTGATTGGGTTTCTTGCTGTGGACGTGCAGCGCCACCGGCCCCCGAGAGGCCGTCGCCTCACTGGGCGGTCGTTGGGCCCCTGCGCGCCCCGCCTGCGAGAGTGACCCATGATGAGGCTGCCATCTGAGGCCGCCTAGATCAAACTTCTTCTGTGCGTGATATGTCGCACTTTGAGGGATCCCATGGTTATTGCTTGGTTGTTTGCTTCCCCCCCTCCCTTTTTGCGCAATCTTGGGTTCGAGAGCTATTTTAGCGCTCGGGTTCAGCTTCGACTTCCTCGAGGTGCTTGAGGGGCCCGCCTTGCGTTCTGCCAACACCGTGGTAAGCAGGGGCGAACCATTGGCGGCGGCAAGGACGGCGAACGCAGCACAATTCTTCGGATTCGGTGCCAAACGTGCGGCATGTCCGAGTAACGGTTTGACCCTGTCCAGAGACTTCCTGTGTCAAGGTTGTGGCGGACGGATGACGTTGCACAAACCGACGGGGTTTGGAAAAGTCACCCGGCGGCGGCAAGGGCGGAGGCAAGGGCGGCTAGGGTGGTGCGTTCGCGCCGCGTCGGCCGCGCCAGACGGTTCCATTGCAGATCGCGTTCGCGCCTTCTCGGTCGTATGGGTGAATCAGACCGCTTGCGTTGAATCGCCTGGACGCTGCTATTCAGTCGACTACCGACTCCGCGGTACGCACTGCTTTGAGCTCGCATACCACCAATCCCAAGGCCGACGTGAGGGCCGAGAGGGCGTCCGCCGCGCCAGCGTCCGAGCATGCGATCAGGCGCGCGACGGGCGCAGCGAAGGATGCGGCACCCAGGCATCACCGCACCCCCAGGCGCTGGCCAAGGATCGAAGTAACCCCACTCGTGCGAGCAGCTCACGTCGTTCGCCGAGGTGGAGAACGCCAAGCGGCAGACGGCGCGGGCATTGGCGATCAGCGAGGGATGGGTCGACCTCCTCGAGCGGCAGGGACCAGCACCTTGGGGATTGCATGCTCGGGTTTCGATTCGACGAGGAGTTTCCCCGAACGTCGGTGGGGGTCAACAACACCAGCGCTGCCAAACCACACCCTCCAATTATCCACATGCGACTGGAACCTCATGAAGATTTCCATCTGCCTCCAGATATCTCTATGCAAGTGTACATGCCCAACGTGATCGCGCGATGTCACGTGGGGCGATTGAACTATTGCGCGTTTGCTTGCTTGCTGCTTTATGGAAGATGTGCTACATGTGGTGGCATGACGCCTTCGTTACCACCATGCCACCCTTTTGACATCACGCCGAAGTCGCGAACCAGCAATACTATCATCACCATCGTCGCGTGGCGTTGCCGTCGCCGTCGTCGTTTCGTATTTGCTGGCGGTATTGGTGGAGTTCTGTATGGTCGGCTGCCCCGTATTATGAACACGACGGGTCGCCTCCCCCGCGCGTTGCCTTGGCAACGGTGGCCTTCTCGGCCTCCCAACACGCCCGATTACTTCCCGAATCCACATGATTTGTTCCCCACATCCTGAGTGGGGTTCTTGTTTTCCTAGAACATCCTCTCCTTTTCCCTCCCGTCCCCCGCTTCCCATATCAATACCATTTCCACCCCTCCAGGGCGGCCCCGCCTGAGCGAGGAGGGTATCGGAAAACCATGCTATGTAATGGTTTCGTGCCCTTCCCGCCTCTCCAGAGAGGCCCCGCCAGGGCGAGGAGGGCATCGGACAACCATACTATTTACATGGCTTCGTGCCCTTCCCACCTCTCCAGGGAGGCCCCGCCTGAGCGAGGAAGGTATCGGAACCCCGTGCGATTTATATGGTTTCGTGCCCTTCCCTCCTTTCAAGGGAGGCCTCGCCTCAGCGAGGAGGGTATCGGAAACCGATACTATTTGCATGGTTTCGTGCCCCTTCCACCCCTCCAGGGAGGCCCCGCCTGAGCGAGGAGGGTGCTGGAAACCCATACTAGTTACATGGTTTCGTGCCCCTCCCACCCCTCCAGTGAGGCCCCGTCTGAGCGAGGAGGGCATCGGAAACCCATACTATTTACATGGTTTCGTGCCCTTCCCACCTCTCCAGGGAGGCCTCGCCTGAGCGAGGAGGGTATCGGACACCCGTACTATTTACATGGTTTCGTGCCCTTCCCACCCCTTCAGGGAGGCCCCGCCTGAGCGAGGAGGGTATTGGAAATCCATACTGTTTACATGGTTTCGTGCCCTTCCCACCCCTCCAGGGAGGCCCCGCCTGGACGAGGAGGGTATCGGAAACTTGTATGATTTACATGGTTCCGTTCCCCTTCCAACCCTCCAGGGGGGGGCCCGCCTGAGCGAGAAAGGTGTCGGAAACCCGTACTATTTACATGCTTTCGTGTCCTCTCACCCTTCCAGGGAGGCCCCGTCTGAGCGAGGAGGGTATCGGACACCCATACTATTTACATGGTTTCGTGCCCTTCCCACCTCTCCAGAGAGGCCCCGCCTGAGCGAGGACGGTGTCGGAAACTTGTATTATTTACATGGTTTCGTGCCGTTCTCACCCCTCCAGGGAGGCCCCGCCTGAGCGAGGAGGGTATCGGAAACCCATACTATTTACATCATTTCGTGCCCCTCCCGCCCCTCCAGGGAGGCCCCGCCTGAGCGAGGAGGATATTGGAAACCCATACTATTTATATGTTTTCGTGCCCTTTCCACCCCTCCAGGGGGGCCCCGCCTCAGCGAGGAGGCTATCGGAAACCCATGCGATGTACATGGTTTCGTGCCCCTCCCTCCCCTCCAGGGAGGCCCCGCCTGAGCGAGGAGGGTATCGGAAACTTGTATTATTTTCATGGCTCCGTGCCCCTTCCACCCCTCCAGGGGGGCCCCGCCTGAGCGATGCGGGTTTCGGAAATCCATACTATTTACATGCTTGCGTGCCCCTCCCACCCTTCCAGGGAGGCCCCGCCTGAGCGATGGGGTCTCGGAAACCCGTACTATTTACATGGTTTCGTGCCCTTCCCACCTCTCCAGGGAGGCCCCGC